CACACACACACACACACACACACACACACACACACACACACACACACACAATAGTTCCTCCCAGGAAACGGAAGGCACTGCTGCACTAACGTTTTCTGTGAGGACAGGTGAAAACGCTATGCTATCCTAAGACTGCGGACTTGGGAAGTGGTGCTCAGAGGGCTCCAACCCTGAAGGCTGAGTACTTTAAACTGGACTCTTTCCTCAGTGTCCCGAAATAGAGTCCCATTAGTGACATTGTTTACACTGCAAAGTAATAATACAAATATTGTACAGTTTGTATCCAGTTATGGAGATGGTTATTAAAGTTCCAACCTGGAAAGCTTGGCATCTTTGATTCCTTTCCCCAACCTCCTGCCTCCCCCGTCCTCCCCCATGGCCACCAAGTCTGGAATATTCTTTGTCTTGTGTCACCTTTTCTTCGCCATCCCCTGCCAAAATCCTAAGTAGACTCTCCTTATCTTTCCTCTGGCCATTATACTGACTCTCATGGTCCTTCTGCTTCTAGCCTTCTCTCTTGCCCTGCATCTTTCTGTTAGATCAGCATTCCTGAAGCACAGGTTTAGTCAGAGTCATGCCCCTTCACTCTCCAGAAGCCTGCTGTGACTCCCTTGTTTGCAGGCCCTAGGTAAGTGGAAAGAGCAGGCTTTGAAGTCTGAACCACTTAAGTCCAAATCCAGGCCCTGCCAATCACTATCTATGTGGTCATAACCAATTATTTAACTCAATAAACCTCAGTTTCCCAGTCCACAATTCCCCTTTCAACACTTAATCTCAGGGTTTTGTGAGAAAAATGACTTCTGGTTAGTATGTTTTTGTCTCAGGTACACCTCTTTCAATTGCAGGTGACAGAAAGTCCAGCTCAACTGGCTTAAAAAGAAAGAATGCACTTGCTCAAATATCTCAAAAATCCAGGGCTAGAACTCAGCCTTTTTCTGAAAACTTACACAGCCTGTCCAGGACCCAGGCCTGTTCTTTCAGCTCATCTAGGCAGGCTTGGTCCTCAGAGAAGTAATGGCAAAACAATACACCCCCAGGTTCAGGTCTTGTGGGAAAAGAAGTCTAACTCTTTTGATAGTCCTAGAGTTTCATTATATATCCTTGATACTGATGGGGTCACATGCCTTCAGTGAACCAGCCCTAAGCCTGGGGATATGATTCTTTTTCTTTTTTTTTCTTACCAGGGATTGAACTCAGGACCTTGTACTTTTGAGGTAGGCGGTGGAACCACTGAGCTAAATCCCCAGCCCTGGGGATATGATTCTTTACTGGCCAGGCCCAAATTACATGCTGGGGTGGGTTTCAGAGGAAAACTGTTCTCAGAAGATAGAAGAATAAACAACATACTGCAGGAACCACACACAGAACAACTGCAGTACTTAGCACACCGCCTTCTGCCTGGCCTCCTTCCCAGCTTTGTCTCTCTAATTCTCCTTTATGTATCCTACGTGTTTTTTTTTTTTGGTACCGGGGATCGAACTCAGGTCCTTGTGTTTGCGAGGCAGGTGGCAGAACCAGTGAGCTAAATCCCCGGCCTCTCCTTTATGTATCCTACATATTATCCAGATGCACTGTCCACATTTTTTCTTTCCCACTCTGCTTTGTCATTCTCTCTGTTTCTTTTCTTCTTGAGACAGGTCTTTGGCCCTGACTTCCCTAGACCATTGTTGATGCCCTCATTGGAGCACTGAGCACACTCTTAGAGTATGTTTTTTTATCTCCTCTGTTGGTTGGAAGCCAGGAACTAAGTAGGATTCATCTTGTTTCCTTCCTTCCCTCTGTCTCTGAGTAGGCCCCAATGCTAGGAGGGATTAAAACAATGATTAGCAGACAAACTTCTGTCTCAAAAAGCTCTCAAGGTAGTTGTTGGGAGATGGAAAGGGAAGCATTGCACTTTTTCACAATGTTCACCATGAGGCAGTACATGACACTGCCAGTGGTGTAAGTGAATGCTTCCTGTACCCCCTCAGAGTCTCCTGTCTGACCTGCCCCAGGTCTGCTTAGCCACTCTGCTTGGCCAAAGACCTTTTGCTCAGCAGTGCCACCAGTGTGAGAGAGCAGAGTAGTTGAAGTTGTTATCCCATGTGGATGTCCTCTTGGTTCCCATTCTTTTCCACTAACATATTATGTATGTACCTTCCAGATCAGGGGATAAATCTGTGGGTAAATCAGTGGATTTACCAATTGGACACCTGCTCTGTGCTTCACACTGGGGAATGGAATGGGATGTAAAGGAGGTAGGGAGAACAGGCTTAAACAATTAATTGCCATTCAGAATATTAATTCATACTCTGTATTCATGGCATATGCATAGCAATCTTCACTAAACTCAAAGTATGATTGTGTAAGAAACTATATTATTATAGTCTAAATTTATAAAAATATTATCTCGTATGTTTTTGTTATATGTTGTACATGACTATACATTACACTTTCTTATAGCTATATATTATATAGGATAGTTCAGGAGACCCTCCCTTGCCCACAGGGGATATGTTCCAAGATCTGTAGTGGATGCTTGAAAAAAACATGACTAGTCTCAAATCCTAGATATACAGTGTTTTTTCCTGTATACAAGTATGACCCAGAAATATGGTTAATGTTTAAATTATTTTGAATTTATTACAGGAAAAGACACATGGCCATTAATCCTCCTCAAAATACTCCCCCTCAATTCAAACACAGTTAGTTATTCCATCATTCATGCCACTTTCTGAAGCAGTTCTAGAAGTCCTTTTTTTGTGAATATCTTTAGTTCTGTTGTCATGGCTGCCTTGATATCCTGAATCGATTCAAAATGTTTACCTTTCATGGTCATTTTGACTCTGGGGAAGAGCTGGAATTCACATGGTGCCAGATCCAGTGAATAAGGTGGATAAGGATGCTCTGTAATGTTTTTACAAGCCTGCTTTTCTGTTGGATGATAGTGAACATCAGCATTCACTATATTTTTTATCACACTTTGTAAAGACACTCACAAAGGAGGACTTTCAGAACTGCTTCAGAAACTGGCAAGAATGATGGGATATGTTCAAAGTGAAGGGGATTAATGGCCATATGTCCTTTACTGTAATAAAAATTTTTAATTTAAACATTCACCATGTATTTTGATCATACTAAGTATAAAGTTTAATTTATAAATTAGACACAATAAGAGACTGACAATAACTAGTTATAAAATAGAACAACTATATCAATATATGGTAATAAAAGTTATATAAATGTGACCTCTCAAACTATCTGAATGGGGCCGGGGATTTAGCTCAGTGGTTTCGCCGCCTGCTGCGCAAGCGCAAGGACCCGAGTTCAATCCCCGGTACCAAAACAAAACAAACAAACAAAGCAAAACAAAACAATATATATATATATATCTGAATGTACTTTCATCTGAAGGACTTTCATTTGAAGGAAGTATTTTGTCTCTTTGGCATATCTGAATTCGTAGCATCACTACCCTTGTGCCTTGGGGCCATTATTAAGTAGAATAAGGGTTAAGGGTTACTTGGACACAAACATTTCAACACTGCAAGACTCATTTGATAACCAAGACATCTACTAAACCACTAAATGAGCAGGTAGCCTATGCAGTGTGGATACATTGGACAAAGGGATGACTCACTTCCTGGGTGTGACAAAATAGGATGGTACAAGATTTCTTACCATGATACTCAAAACTATGTGCAGTTTCCATAATTTTCTACTTAATATTTTCAGACTATGGTTGACTTCAGATAACTGAAACTAGAAAGTGAAACCATGGATAAAGAGAAACAAGGTGGACTATGCTTTGTGAGCAACTTGAGGGATTTTCAGGAGCTTTTGACTGTACACTATATATGCCTTACATACCAACTTTAGAATCAAATCCTGTTTAATGTGTGACTCCACTGTATATAATAAAGTACCACATCAAGGCCAGCCTGGGCACCTTGGCGAGACCCTTCCTCAAAATAAAGTTAAAAGGGCTGTAGGATGTAGCTCAGTGATAGAGCACTTGCCTAGCATGCAGGAAACTTTGAGTTTAATCCCCAGTACTGAGAAAAATGAAATAGAGTACCACATTAGATATAATCAATAAGCACTCAGGGGGAAAGAGAGAGAGAGGGAGAGAGAGAGGGAGAGGGAGGGATATGTTTAGGTATAAACAATGAGTGCTGTGGTTTTTAATAAAAATTTAATGATATTAATCATTTAGTTGCTACCTACAATTTGCCTAAACTTACATGTACTGTTCTTTCTATCCTCATAACAGCCCCTTAAGTGAGATATCGTATTATTTTAAGACAAAAATAATGGAGACTCTTAAGAGGTAGAGTAACCTTCCCTCAGGTCAGTCAGCAAAATGGAGGCCAAACTGGGATTCAGTCCCAAGTGTATCCAGCTGCCCATTTCCTGCTGTTTGCACTGCATTTTGGGGTGAGCCTTGGGTAGGCTTCATAAAGAAGATGGACTGAAGATGGGCCCCCAAGGATGAGGAGGCTTGGGCAAGGTGGCGGAGATGGTGGAGCAAAGGCTGTGGTGGTGGCGCAAGCAGGGAATATGGGGAGTTCTGCCTGAGAGAGGACCAAGGAGTGAGAACCAGGAGAAGTAAGGAAACGAAGTGCTAGGAGGGG